GCTATGATTCTCTAGTTTTCGCAATAGTTCTCTTGCCATTGGCGTTTCCACTATTCTGGTTTTGATTTCTTCCTCCACTATGGGCATGTCTCCCTGCTTTACTTAGACTAGCTCTAACTGCAAGTAGTGACTAAAATTCTCCCGAATAGGTGATAATTGCTACCACATCAAAAATCTGGATGTTGTTGCTATCCTCCAGCGATGCCCTCAGTGCTGAATACATCTAACTTCTGCTTGGTACTAAGTCGACATTCAAGGAATTTTCATATACTCCTTCCCTTATAGGTTGCTAATGAAGTTGGTGCGTCTTGAAACTCTGGTGCTCTCATTGTCTGATATCTTTCTTATTCTTTCAGAGCTAAACCTCCTGCTCTGTGGTTCTATAAATAGCTGATTGTGGTGGTGGTGCCTTCATAAGTATTGCTTCTTTACTTTCACGACGGGTACAACCGGTGATGGAACTCCTTAAAGTGGTCTTGCTGACGGAAACAGATACACTTCTTGCTCCTCGAGTGTTGTGAGATCTCATTGCTAACGGTGCCATGAAGTCGATCAAATACTGTGGAGCCTGCTGCGGCTCGGCTCTGTGTATCTCAACTAGTAGGTTATAAAGATACTTCTTTTAAATTTCAAATATTTATCAGGAAACTCCCAGCTGGAATGTGACGCCCCTGGGTTCACACAAGGCTGCAGTCCGAGGTGAAACCAGAGATGTCAAACCTGCCATGCACCACACCGTGCAATAACACGTTTCACCATCACAATTACTATCTCTCTAGTGGAATCAACAACAGGTGTAGGTACAAAGCAAGTAAAAGGTAAATCAACAATACTGGATGAAGTGATAGAACATAACACATCTCATCAACGAAATAAACTGAAGTACATAGTCAAAGTCTGAAATGAATAATAAAGATCTGGAGACCTCAACATGTCTTAAAGTACATAATGTCTGATACAGGAAATAAGGCACACAGCCTTTACAACTCTAGAACATAAACCTCTTAAGTCTAAAAATGTCTCAAGTGGAGTACAAAATAATATACATCTAATAAGAGGATAAATAGGCACTAGTAAGGGTCGCCCTCATCCTGCGACTCTCCGGGCTCCTGGCTCGTTACCTGAAAGGGCGAGGGACAACGAGCGTCAAAGCTCTAGCGAGCAACATCACAACCAACCCCATGGGATAGGGCTTGTTGTGTATGAAAATACAGTTAATACATAATAATATAAAATCATTTGTCCTAACAACAATGGGTTTTGATATTTAGGAAATTACAACACGAGCGTAGGTACGTCGAGCGAAATAAGACTGCATGAAGTAAACGTCCAACTCATGGACTGAATATAACCGTTGTCCAACGCATGGACCGGATGTGGCAGTTATCCAACGCATGGACCGGATGTGACCGTTGTCCAACGCATAGACCGAATGGTAATGCATGTCCAACACGAGGACTAAATAGTAATGCATGTCCAACACGAGGACTAAATAGTAAAGCATGTCCAACACGAGGACTAAATAGTAAAGCATGTCCAACACGAGGACTAAATAGTAAACAAAGACATTCTGCTCGACAGAACGTCCAGCGGTCGACCGCCGCGTCCAGCGCGGTCGACCGCGAAACTGACAGAAGCCTATTAAGGGTTTCTGTCAGCTTCGAAATAATTACAACTAGATGTTTTCTTGCATTGAATCAATATCTAACATTTTTAATATGTCATATGATAGACAACAACGAATTTAAACCTTTAAAATCTCATCATCAAGTCCCAAACATATATATAAACATGATTTAAATGTTCTTAAAATAGTAAAACAGGATCAACTCTTATTAAAATGTTTTCAGATCTAAATCTCATTAATACAAATTCGTGGGTGAACTTTTAAAATCTGAAATACTTGATTCTCATATCATATGCCATAATGATCTATTATATCTTCATAAAAAATACGAATTTGGCCCAATAAAACCGGATTAAAACCCAGATAAAACATGAAATACAAAAGGGGTGAAGTTGGGCGAGATGTTACTCGCCTCTGATGGGAACAAGGGTCCTGAATCTGTAGGAGAACAATCCCCTTCGCTGAACACTGATGGATCTCGCGAAACCCCAGCGAAAATCCTTCGAAACGACCCAAAAATGCCAAAATCCGAGCTAGGGTTTTGAGAGGAGAGAGAGAAGGAGGCTGAGGCTATTTGGGTTCAATAGAGGGTTCTGAGAGCTTCAAAACGAGTATATATAAGTAGGGTAACAACCGGGTTTGGTATAAACAAAATCAATCCGAAACAGAACTAAAACTGGCGTCTGTACGCTGAGCGGTCGACCGCAGCGACCACGGCGGTCGACTGCTCAGAGTTCTGGACCATGCTCAGACTGTGGTTCGGTAAAATGGTTGTAACTTTCTCATATGATTTCGGAATGAGGTGATTTAAGATTCGTTGGAAAGCTATTGAAGAGACCTACAACTTTGGTCTTATACACTTTTCCAGATTCTAACTGAATCAGTATGAAAAACATAGAAATTCTCAACTGGTTAAAATTCTCAGATTATCACTATTTGCCTTTGTGCATGTTTTGTGTATTTACACTCATATATTCACAAATATACATTGAATTGATCTCAAATCAATTCCTATCATACTCAAACATCAAAATATATTATTTTTACCATATAACATATTTATAATTATTTATCACACTATATTCAAATTTTTGGGGTTTTACATTAGTTAAGGTTACATCGTAGTGTTAAGGTTACTTCTTAGTTGTTACGTTTATCTATTAGTTGTGAAGGTTATAGTTTACTTGTTAAGCTTACTCTTCATTTGTTAAGGTTATAGCTTAGTTGTTAATGTTACTCCTTTGTTATTAATGGTTACATGTCAAGTTTGTTGTTCATGTATTGTTTAGTTGTTAAGTTTACAGATTATTTGTTAATGTTACAGTTTAGATATTAAGGTTAATGCTTACTTGTCAACCTTGATGCTTGTGCTTAGTTATTAATATTAATGATTTCTTGCTATATTTATATAGGTATGGAGTTATGGTTAAAGCTACAAATCTAAGAAGTTGTATTGTCATTGATGAGGTTGACGGGGGGTTTAGGCAGTGGCGCATAAGTATATAGAGGTCCGGGGGGGGGGGCGGGGGGCGTGGCCGCCCCCCCAAAATTTTGGGGAAAAATATAATAGGTTCCCTCCTCAGTCCGCACACGCCTCCATTTTGCTCCTCGAGATCTCCTGTGAAAAAACTCAATCATTGAGGGCCTGAGGCGCTATCTCCATTCTCCCGACTGATCTTTTGAGGGGGAAATTATAGCTTTTCCCTAAAATTATTTCGGGACTCGATCTAGGACACTCTATTACCTCTTCTTTCATGCTAAAATTTGGGGCTTTTCTCTACGAGGTAAGTGTTTTTATCAAAGCTCTATCTGTGTATTCGGATCTCTTCAAAATCGTCTAAAAAAACTTAGGAAAGTCTCAAGATCACTATGCAATATTGAAATTTAATTCTCTATTACCTCTTATCTCTCCACACTGATCTTTTAGGCAAAATTCTTTTTTTTCAAAAAATTGGTTAGGGATTCGTTATAGGGCTTGATTCTCTCCATTACCTCTTATCTCTTGCTTATTTTTCGCATCTTTTCTCATTTTTGCAGATTCTTTGCTTTGCTTCAAGATCAGGATTTTGGAGCCAGATAGAGGACACGAGTGAATCGGAGTGATCCGCGTTTTGGTGAGATTATTGTTGGGTTTGCAGTGAGCCGTCAGTCGTGAGTGAGCACAACAAATTTGAGGCCAACAAGCTTATGTTCAGACTTCAACAAAGTGATTATTGGTTAGAGTGTTAGACCTATGTTAAATCTCTGGTAATTATCTATCTTGTCTAACATTCTCTTCCATTGATTTGATTATGTGCTCTTTTCCCCTAATTTCAATTGATTTTTTGGGGAATTCTAGCGATGGATTCTGCTATAGTTTGGATTTAATTTTTGGAAAAATCTAAAATTTCTGTCATTAATCATTTGATGATCGATCAAAATCATAAATTGGTGTAAAAAATGATTGATTGATGATTATTAGGTGATAAAGTTCTCACTTTTATGTTATTATTGGTAGATAATATGCCTTGAGAATTAATTGGGGATTGTTTCTTTTCGATCTATTCATATGTGATTGAAATTCTTTACTTGAACTTTACAGGTCCGTGATTAAATTTGAAATAAAATGAGAAAATCCGTTACAATTGATAAGTTTTTCCAAAGAAAGAGAGGAAGTGAATTGGGTCCTGCTGCTCCTATAACCTCTGCACTAGCCTCAAATGATAATGATCTTCCATTTGAAAATCCTCCTAAAAGGTTTAGAAATCCAGACGGTGAAGAAGTTGATCTTAATTCCTTAGAGCGTGATCCAGGCTTGCGTCGACAAATATGGGAATACCCTCTTGACCAACGGGAGGAGATTCGTCGAGCTTATTTGAATCTAAAGGCATATCAACCTATTCTTCAAGATTATCCATTAAATAAGGATATTAAGCATCCTCGAAGATTTCAATTTACTTGGTATGAGCTATTTTATTGGTTGGAGTATTCATCGACTAAAGATAAAGTATATTGCATTCCATGTTTTCTCTTCAACAAGCCATCGGGATGCGAAAATCAAACTGCTTTTGTTGTTGATGGTTTTGACAGTTGGAAGAAAGTTCGAAGCGGAAAAGCATGTGCTTTCCTAGGCCATATAGGAAAAGATAATGTATCTTTACTCCATCGTATTGCTGAAAAGGCATGTGAGGATTTGATGAACCAACCGCAACATATATCAAGGAGATTCAACAACTTTAATGCTGGACAAGTTGCAACTAATCATCTTCGGTTAAGAGCTCACATACTTGTGGTGTGATTGCTTGCACTGCAAGGGATTCCGTTTAGAGGCCACGATGAGAAATCTGGTTTGTCCAAGTGTGACAATTTTCTTGAATTTTTGGATGTGTTGGCCATGGAGAATGACGAACTTTCAAAGACAATTGTGAAAGCTCCAAAAAATGCCAAATATACAAGTCATGATATTCAAAAACAAACACTTCATGTGTTTTCAGTGAGAGTGAAAAATGCAATTCGTGAAGAAATTGGAGTTTCCAAGTATTGCATTATTGTTGATGAAGCCCGTGATGAGTCAAAAAAGTGCAAATGTCTATTGTGTTGCGGTTTGTGGACACTAATGGATTCATTCAAGAACATTTTTTGGGTTTGTTCATATTTCCGATACTGCAGCTTTGACTTTAAAGAATGCTATATATTCTGCTTTGGCTCATTACAATTTGGATGTTCAAAATATTAGAGGTCAAGGTTACGACGGGGCTAGTAATATGAGGGGTGAATTCAATGGATTGCAATCTTTGATTGTGAAAGATTGTAAGGCTGCTTACTATGTTCATTGCTTTGCTCATCGGCTACAGTTGGCTCTTGTTGCGGCAACAAAAAAATCTGACTCCCATTCATATGTTTTTTGACAAATTAATTTCTATAGTTAATATGGTTGGTGCTTCTTGTAAGCGTTATGATGAATTGAAGAAAGCTCACACGAATGACATTGCCCATTTGACTTCTATTAATGAACTCGAGACAGGCCTGGACTTAATAAAATTAGCGCGCACTTTACAATGAGATGCTAATACGCGTTGGAGTTCTCATTTTAGATCATTGTCGGGTTTGATTAGGATGTTCAGTGCAGCATGTACGATATTGCTCAAAGTTATGGAGGATAGGCTTCCTTCCCAACGAGCCGATGCAACATCCGTTTATGATAAAATGACTTCGTTTGATTTTGTGTTTATCTTGCATCTAATGAGCGATCTTATGGGCATCACAGATTTTCTTTCCCAGACTTTACTAAGTAAGTCTCAAGACATTTCGAATGCAATGGAGTTTGTGTCATCTATAAAAAGATTACTACAAGAGTTAAGGGATGACAAGTGGGATAATTTGCTTGAAAAAGTAAAGTCTTTTTGTGTGGCTCGTAACATTAATATTCCTGATTTTAGTGCTCAGTATGTTGATAGACGGTGCCAAGCTAGCTCGTGGTCATCAAGACATCACCATTGGACATCATTATCGAGTAGACTTCTTTTATGCCGCGATCGATTCACAAATGCAAGAAATTAATGTGCGTTTTAGTGAAGATGCGACGGAATTGCTCATGCTTAGTTCTGCCTTAAATCCTCAAAATGCATCTGAGGCTTTGAGAATACTAGATATATGCAAATTGGTTGACAAGTTTTATGCACAAGATTTTACAAGTGCAGAAAAAGAGAGCTTGAAGATGCAACTAAAACATTATGAGCATAATGTAGTCAAAGGGTCAGACTTCAAAACACTTTCAACTATTTCTGAGTTGTGTCAATGGTTGGTAAAGACTAATAAATCTGCTACATACGACCTTATTTTTAGAGTGATCGTGCTTGTGCTTACTCTTCCAGTTTCTACTGCTACTGCAGAATGATCATTCTCAGCTATGAATATCGTCAAGACTAGGCTTCGAAGCAAAATGGAGGATGCTTTCCTCTCAGACGCATTAATGGTGTTTATTAAAAGAGAAATTGCTAAAAGTCTGAGCATTGATGCTATCATAGAAGACTTTGAAAATTTTAAGGAACGTTGAATTCCTTTTAGCTAGAGAAGTTTTAGTTATAAAAAATTAGATAATGCTTATTTGAATATTTTTAACTTAATTTTTGTCTTCCTCTTTTGAAATATTTTGGAGATATTGATGTTGGCTATTCTACTCATTTTATTTGGGTTGTAGTGTATCTCTTGTCAATAAAATTATATTAAAAAAATTTTTTGTCTATCTTTTGTACACGGCCCCCTTAGAACTAAAATCCTGGATCCGTCCCTGGGTTTAGGCATTTGTTCATCTACTACTTTCAACTTAAAGGCAAAATCTCAAAATCACTGCTTATGCTAAGTAAACATTATTCTTACTGTAGTATACTTCAGAATATTAAACATCCTCTTTAAGCAACAATGAAATTTTGAATCTAGATTGTTCATGCTAGAGCAATTTTTTAAGTTTAATGACACTATTCATGCTACAGTAAAAATTCTTCTTTGTCCCACATTCAGCCTAAAGTAGAAAATTTTAAACCTTTAAAATGCTATTCATATCTAAATTTTTGCCCCTTTTCTTGTATATGATGATTTGAACTTTATCAGATATTTCATATATATAAATTTTTTTAGCTCTATTAAAGAAAATTGATAAAACTTGCTAATTGGTATATTATTTTTTTAGCTGATTGGGAGATTCACTTTATAAACAGTAGTAAAAAAATTATTGTTGAAGCTTTTATAAATATAATTATATACAAAATCCATATTGTTATTTTGGCGGCAAATATACCTCAGTAAATGATACCCACAGCAACGCATGAGCTAATACTAGTAAGTTATAATGCCTATATTTAAGAGTTCATTGCTAAATGTAGGCCTCTTCTGTTCTTAGATGAGACATTTCTTAAAGACCACCACAAAGATATATTACTTAGTGCCACACGATATGATGGGAACCAGTGTTTTCTCTTGCTTATTGCATATGCAACTAGGAGATCGGGGAAGATTGAAAGTGTTCTTGCAAGGAGTGTAGTTCATACTATGTAATAAACCCTCTCCACTTACTACTCTTGAACAAACTTGATTAGAATTGTACACTGTGAGAACAGTTCATATTTGTTATTTAGCTCCAGACCTCGTACTTAAATTTGTCGGCCATGCTAGTTGAAATAAACTGAAAACGGAAGTGATGATTACTATGGATTTTCTTTTTGTGAGTCATTGTTTGGTTGGTTTCTTTTATTCATTTTGCAAACTTAACCGCATCACTAGGCCTATTCAAATAGGCCGGCCCGGGTCAGATTTTTGGGTCTGGGCCGGGCAAAATACCTAGGCTGAACCCAGACCCGGGGTGCTCAGGGGTGGGCCGGTCCGAATTTTTTTATTTTTGTTTTTCTGATTTTTTTATAGAATTGCTAAAGTATCAGATTAGTCTTATTATATTTATATAAGTATGTATTAGTATATACTTACATATTAGTATATAGCTATATATTATATATACATATATTATATGTGAATATATCGTATATACTTATAAGTTATAACTTGTGTGAGAGAGAGAATCACATTAGTATAGAAGTTATTTATAAATGTGTATTATATAGTTATATATGTACTTGTTACATACTTATATTATGCTTATTTAAATATAGTTATATACTTTACTTGTATGATATACTTTATTATTTTATATATACTACATGCAATATACTTATATATAACTAGTATAGTACACGTGTTGCACGTGAACGGATTAATTTTATATTTAAATTCTTTTTTGTAATAAGTTTGCTCACTACAACAAAATACATCATTACCGACGAAACAAAAACGTCGGCAAAAGTTTAAAAAACGTCGGGAAAAATCTTTCCCGACGCAAAATGCAGCGTCGCTAACGCGTCACCAAAAGTGCGTCAAGGAAAATATTTGGCGACGCAAACACACTGCGTCGGTAAAAGTCAACACTTTTGGCGACGCAAACACACTGCGTCGGTAAAAGTCAACACTTTTGGCGACGCTTCATGCGTCGGGAAAAGTACATCTTTTAGCGACGCATAGTATTTTGCGTCGGCAAAAGTATGCATAATTTTTTCATATGCAAAAGTGCGTCGGTAAAACTTGTACTTTTGGCGACGCATGCAGCGTCGGCAAAAGCTAATGCGTCGGCAAAAATATAGCTTTTAGCGACACAAAACTGTTCGTCGCTAAAAATTATACTTTTAACGACGCAAGTTAGCATCGGCAAAAGTGTAGCTTTTAGCGATGCAGAATGAAGCGTCGCTAAAAACTATATCTTTGGCAACGCAAAATAGCGTTGCTAAAAGTTTTTTTTTTTGCGACGCAATATAGCGTCAACAAAAGTATTACTTTTAGTGGCGCTTTTTAGCCTACACTGAACCTGAACATCCACAAAAAATTTGCTCTCATTTACATCAACAAAGAAACTAGACATCAAATTATACTCCAAACAAGTTACATATTAAGATAAACAAAGAATTTGCTCCCATTGCAAAATAGTTACATTCATTTCCATTTCCAAGTCAACACTCAAAGGTCTATTTACATATTCCAGTTTGCTTGTAATCCATGAAGGAAAAAAAAACACAATGGAAAGAGAGGAAAATGTGAAAGAAAAGAAAGAAGGAAACAACTATTTAAATATTCCAGTTTGCTTGTAACCTCATGACTAGTTTCTCTCTGCTTCTAAGATAATCAAATCCATGTTCCTGCATAACAAGAATAAAGCAGCATCAAAAAATAGCCGTGAATGCGAGTGTAAAAATTTCACAAAAGATTTTTGATGCAAATACCTGTAAATCCTATAGACACGATTTCAAATACACCATTTCAGGATTTCTAATTATATGATGGCCAGTTGGTAATAAAAATTAGTTGCAGATCTAAGTATACAATGATGTAGGTACATTGGCCAATCATTGGTCTATTGTGAAAGTTCAATTGCAGTTTGAGTACCTAAAATACATATACCTTAGTTTCTCTACAATTTGATATCCAGTATTCTCACACCTCTTGCAATCGACGTATTTTCCTTTAGTTAATTTGTAGCTAAATACTACAGTTCTCATCTGAGTCACAAGTGATAGGTTTTTTTGGACACTAATATTTGCCATGAAGCCGTCTTCACAACCTCCCACCATTCAAGTGAAAAGTCCTCTACCTGTCGATATGCCGTTGGGTTGAAAAAAGGGGTGCGCTTGAATTCAGGGTTGATCTCCGTGTCAAATGCTACTGCTATGGTACTCATGGATTGGCTCAACTAGAAAAGGTAAAAGGAAGCTATTAGAACGCAATTCTCTTCAGGAAATTAAATAAAGGATTATGCTGCTGGGTTGAAAAAAGGGGTGCGCTTGAATTCAGGGTTGATCTCCCTGTGTCAAATGCTACTGCTATGGTACTCATGGATTGGCTCAACTAGAAAAGGTAAAAGGAAGCTATTAGAACGCAATTCTCTTCAGGAAATTAAATAAAGGATTTTTTTATACATAGTTCTTCAAACAAAAAAAAATGAAGGAGCCTCTTGGGAAGCAAGTTTGAAATTCTAAAAGTTTGAAATTGCCATTACTAACAAGCAGGAAGTTTGAAATTTTGCAATAACATAAATTCTAAAAGTTTAAAAGGTGGATTAGTTTGGGATCCAAAATCAGCACAAAAAACTGAATCTCTCAATTGCCTACACCAAACTTCATAAAAGAAACAAGTAGACACAACATGTACAATACTCCAATACCAATATTTGACTAAACAAAACCAGCAGAGGATGGAGCATGCACCAACTAAACAGAACCAGTAGAAAAAATATATCAAAGCTTAATCACCTACATATTTATACACAACAAAAAGGTAAACCGCAACAATCACCTACATTTCAATTCAAATAGTTTCAATTTTCAAAACTCGATCATATTTACTAACATAAACTTAATGCTAAATCAGGTAGGCAAAGTTAAACAAGAGTAAAAATATACGCAACAAAAAGGAGATTTACACTCCAACTTTTTGAATGAATATACCAGGTTCTATAAATAAATCACAAAAAACAGGTATCTACGTTGATATCATAAATCAGAAAAACACTTGAATATAGATGATTTTAAATGAACAATTCCACCACTAACCGCAAAGGTAAAAAAAATTATGATTCAAAAATTCTAGTGATAACAAGTTTCACCACACAATGCTACAGGCTTACAAGACAAGGTGGACCTTCAGAAGATGTATAGACCAAAACTAGTAAAAAATAATCGCAGTGCCACAAGGATCATGACATAATCCTTGTAGACTGTAGCTCAATAACTGATTTTGGGGCCTTCTTCCACTTTTCCTAGTCTTTTCAGATATCAGTATCATTGTTTTAAACTAGCAAGTATAAACTCATCATAACATCATATACTTAGTAGAAAAACAAGAGCAACAATCTAGTTCAGCATTCAGTAATTATCAGACATAATAGCAATTTCACTAATTAGTAATTATCACCTTGTCTGCAAAATAAAGAGGGGAGAAGTTTTCTGTTTGGCATGCAACAATTAGGTACCTCTTCATTACCTTTTAATAGGACCACAAGCACTCTGTCAAGGTCTTCTCACAAAATTCCCATACCAGACTACTATCAGATGAAATGCATTTGCCAGCTAGAAAAAGTGCACGTATAGAGTGCTCACAAGCAGAGTGATACTCTTCCGCTGACTCTGTGTCTAAGACCCGACAAACTTGAGTATTTCACATCAAGGGTTTTTGCAATACAATTAATGCTCCAGACTTCATTTAGAGTTAAATCACCAAATAAAAAGTGCATACAATTACACATCAAAATCCAATCAAGTTAACTGATGATCAGGATTATCATTCATGCTATTTTCAAATATG